CACAGACAAAATCCTTCCACCCTTCAGTTCACCCTGCATACTATCACCAAATTAACTTACTTATCATATTACCAGAAATCCTTTCTAGCTAAATAAATTCCTTATCTGCATATTCAAGGACCTTCATAATTAGAACTTTCCAAAATTTTCTATCTAAATGCTCTGCAAGAGTCAATGGGATTTGTAAAATAAACTTCACTGTGAATGAACCTTGCAACTTCCTGGCTTTCATTCAAATATTTTCTAAATACTCACAGGGTGCCAAGCACTATTCCAAGTGCAAATGATACTGAGGGGCACCCGTCAAAGCCCCTGCTCTGAAGTTATACTACAGACTGGACAGTCTTTGGTTGAGAACTTATAGTGGAAAGGAAATAACCCCCCAGACATTGCCAGCAGTGTTCTTCCAATGGCCAGATATAACAAAAAGACACAAGAGATCTGCCAGCACTAACATTGTCTGCTATAGACCCGAATGTATTTTGTAGCCTTATTTTCCATTCTCACATTATTTGTCCCCTCAGTTCAACCAAAATGTGCCAAGCTAGCAACTGTTTTGTGTGTTTTTTAAATATTTTTATTGATTTCAGAGAAGAAGGGAGAGAAAAACATCAGTGATGAGAGGGAATCATTGATTGGCCACTCCCCTACATGCCCCCCACTAGAGATCGAGCCCGCAACCCGGGCATGTGCCTCTGACCAGAATCAAAGCCAGGACCCTTCAGTCTGCAGGCTGATGCTCTATCCACTAGGCCAAACCAGCTAGGGCTAAGCTAGCAACTGTTAATGTGCCTTTGGCTCCTGACTCACCTCCTACCATCTCCACCGGCTAAAGGATAACCTGACTTCAAAGCCCACCTCAAATGATGCTTTCTAAGAGACTCTTCTCCATTCCCTTCACACAAATCCAGATATTGTGGAGACCTTCAAACTCTTGTAACCAACCCTTAACTTAGTCCCCTCTGAGCATTTATCCCACTATGTATAATTAAAATACCTGTATATTTTAACCTCATTCAGCAGCTATTTAATACCCACTTGCTACATTCCTGAACTATCTAGGAGCTACAGTGGCAGTACTAAATTATTCCATATTTATTTTTAAATATATAACATCCAAATGATAAATGTAAAATGTAGAAACAAATATTCTATATGCTTTTTATTGCTTCAATCTTTTTCTAGTTTTATTGAGATATAATTTACATACCATAAAGTTCTCCCATTCAAAACGAGAACTTTATGGTATGTTTACAGAATCATGCGGCCATCCAATCTAATTTTAATCACTCTTAAAAAAAAAATCTTATCCCTACATTAGCAGTTACTTCCCATCCTCCTATTCCAGCCCCTCACCCCAATCCTAGATAACTAAAATCTATTCTCTTTCTCTATAGATTTGTTATTCCAGAAATGTTATTTTAATGATACCATACAATATGTGGTATGAGGCTTCCAACATCTGTACTGTTTGAATCTTATAGCATAAGAATAAGCTCACTATACTTAACACCTCATGGAATTTATATCCCAGTGGAATAACATGAGAAATAAACATGAAGAAAAATAAACATGTCACCTTTAGATAATAATAAAAAGGAGGGGGCCAAATATATGGTGACATAAGATGATCTGACTTTGGGTGGTGAGCACACAATGCAATATATTGAACATGTACCACAGAAGTGTACACTTAAAACTTATATAATCTTATTAACCAATATCACCCCAATAAAGTAAAATAAAATAAGAAAAAGAAGAAAATAAAACAGGGTAAACTGAACAGAAAATAAACCAGAACAAAAGGAAGTCTCTAGGTAGGGTGGTCAGAAAAGACCAATCTGAGAAGATAATTTTGACCTAAGATGTAAAGAACTGGAAGGGGAATATCCCAGGCAATGGAAACAGCAAAAAAATAAATAAATAAATAAATAAATAAATAAATAAATAAAATTGAGAAAAGAACAAGTCTGGAAAATTCAAGGAACAAAAGGAAGTCAGTGTGACTGAAGTATAATGAAGAGGCAGAGAAAGTAGATGAAGTTGGGGGTGTAAGCAGAGGCCAGATAATCTTGGACCTCAGAGCATACTAAACTCTTTGGATTTTAAAATGCAATCACTTTTAATACCTTATATTTCTTTAAATATAGGTGTCCATCTATGCAAACACTTGTTGAACTTTTACAGCTCTTCTAAATACAACTAATAATAGTGAATATTAAAGAGACTACTTGAGTAAATCCATGGCATTTAATTAGTTATCACTTTATTTTATGGCCCAAAACAGAACACCTAAAACATGAATACCAATAGTGTTTTGGTAGTCCTGTATATGAATTATAAGCATATGAATGCATCTTTATACATTTATTATCTAATCTTAACCAAGTAAAGTGTATGCCTTACTGACAATAACTAGCAGCTTTGTCTTAGAATATTAAGGTCATTTTCAAAAAAGCAAGCCAAAAAAAACATAGTTGTAATCAATTTCATAATTTAAACCTAGGCTTCATTTTTTTTCATTGGTTTCTAATTAACTGACTGCTTTTCTCCACTCTACTAATTAAAAATATCTCATTGCTAAACACAAAACCTATGGACACAAAACATTCTACATGTTTTTACATTGTTTTAATCTTTTAAAACAAGCATTTTCACATATTACTTCTACATTTGGTTTTTTCAAAGAGAAAAAAAAAGTTCTTAAAACTCTAGAGACATAATAAATGTCACCTTTGATAAAAGAACATGTTATCTAGCCCCAGCTTCATCTCTATGCTCTGCCTTCAGGCACTGTGCGCTGCTGCAGAACCAGACTACTTGCCAGTCTCATACTTGTTCCCTCACCTCAGCTTTTTGATTCACATTCCCCACTGGGAGAAATCCAACCAGTTCTTCCAGGTCCAGGGCAAACATTCTCCCTCTGTGTATGTCTCTTTCCCAGTCCTCTTCCCTGAGCAGAACTGTTCTCTCACCTCTGCGCTTCCACAACTCAGATGCAACCTTACTGGGTGCTGCCTGGTACTCCACAATGATTCTGCATCCTGGTCAGAAACATCGTCACCAAACTACGCCCTTCAGCATACCCTCAAGTGGATGAACAGAGTAAAGCTTTTTGAATTAGTGGATCTCAGTAAAAACCACATGCACTTTGGCACCATTTGGTACAATATGATACAAGTCATTACAAAATGCAAGGTCAAGAATTAAGCCCTATTTGGAGATATTTAAGGCAGTGCAGTCTTTACTTCCTTCCAAGTTTGGACATAATTTTTTCTAATAAATGGTTACTTAATAATCACACAATTCCACTACTTAAATGAAACTTTTCCACTCTCATAACCTATTTAAGAACTGTTCAACAAAGTGTGTGAGTGTTATGTGTTATCAAGAATTGATGGCTTTAAACCCAGAGCACAGAAAAGATGAAAGATCTACACAAGTCATACAGCTAATCACAAGGGCTAAAATAGGATCCCATTCTCACTCTGTCCACTGCCTCCTAACACGAAGGACCTGAATGAACACCAGTAACTTTCAAAGGCATCTAATTTTGTTTGGTATAGAGTAAATGTTCAAATATTTGAGTTAATAAAGATCATTTAAGACATCTTCAGGTGTGGAGGTTTATGTACAATGTAGACATCATCAATCCTTCATCGTGCAGGTCATACTAACAGGTTATTTCAAAGCATACCAATAACAAATCTTCCGTTCTTAAGAATGGCACGGGCCAGAAACCCTCCACCAGAGCCGCATTTTCCTTCTCCGTTTGTTCCCAGGGGCACAATAAACATTCTATAGTTCACCCCATTTTCTAACTTCAGCTTGCATTTTAAGATAAAGCTTTTGTCTCATGTACAGCTCACATGCTGCTGACACAGCTGCCCCTTCTTCGGAATAAACACAAGGCTTCTATATTTAAAAACACAGTGAAACTCTGTTATTAGCATCCCCTTCCCAGTCTGGGGCCAACAGTCTCTCCCAAGCCCCACCTCCACCCCAGGAGTATCTCTCATCGGCGCTCCAGGCGCTATTCCTTCAGAAAGTCCATTTTCTTTTTTCTTTTTTTTTAACACATCTCATCGGAATGGCATTTTCCTTTGCTCGTGTGTGTGTGTGTGTGTGTGTGTGTGTGTGTGTGTGTTGTGTGTGATTTTAAAAAGGAGGGGAAATACAGGATCCCCTTCCCACGCAAAAGAACCTGCGGGGCTGTGACCTGCAGCCCGCGCCCCGGGGTCCAGGTGGGACACACTCGCCGGCGGCGCGCGGGCTCCGCGGGGGACCCCGGGGCGGCGGGGCCGGTCCCCCGGAGCCTGGCAGCCGCGCTGACAGGAGAGCTCGCCCGCGGGCACCCGGGTTGGTCGACTCGCCCCAGGCCAACTCGCCCCGGGAGGCTGCTCTGTGCCGGGAGGGGGGTCGGTACCACCCGGCGACGCGTTCGCGTGGGCTCCCCGCAGGGCGCAGGCCCCGCCGGCCCAGGGCAGGGCACACCCGCCCGCGTCCCTCGGGGCGGTCGGAAGGGGGCGCCGAGGAGGGTGTGGGCCTGAGCGGCGTGCCGGGAGGAGGTGAGGCGAGGCCGGAATTCATCGTCCACCTCCCGAGCGTTTGGACGGGACGCCGGGGACCGGAGCGGCGGGGGCAGCCCCACGGAAAGTGAAACTCCCTCCCGGCGGCCCAGCCCCGCCGGCCCGGGCGCACCCGCTCCGCAGCCCGCCCGGCGCAGCACTCGTGACTCCCACAGCCCAGCCCGGGGCACGGCGCGAGCAGCCAGTACACCGTCTCCTTTTGAACACCCTCACTGGTGAGGGGAGCCAGTCATTAGGTGTCCAATAAGTTAGTTGCCCAAGCCTCTTAGTAAAATAAAAATAAATTTTTTTTTAAAAAAGTGTAGGACGTTCCCATACCGGGAGTCGAACCCGGGCCGCCTGGGTGAAAACCAGGAATCCTAACCGCTAGACCATATGGGAAGCGCTGGTGAAGACGCCGCAGTGACTCACCTGACAAGCGCTCGCGCCCGCGTTGCCTCCTCCACGTCCTGCCGCCGCGGTTCCCGCCGCTTCTGCGCCACTCACGCCGCTCCCGCCGCTCCCCACGCGCTCCCGAGCGAGGGAACCAGACCGGCACCGGCGGCGCGCGGACGGCGCGGAGGGGGACGCGGCCGCGCCGCCGCCTCGGGAAAGTTCTGAGGCGAACCCCGCAACTCGCGGCCGCGAAACTAGCGGTTTCACCTTTTTTTTTTTTTCTCTCTCTCTTTTTTTTTAAACTCCGCCAGCGGTCCCCAGCCTACGGGTCCGGGTTGCTCCGCTGGTCAAAGTGCGTGCGGAGTAAGTTGGCAAAGTTGAGGGCGGCGACGTCGCGGGGAACAGCTGTTTGTGTTCGGGGCGGAGGCGGCGCGCGAGCTCCCTGGCGGCGAGCCGGCGAGCCTAGGGGGTGGAGGTGGAGGTGGAGGTTCTGGGTCCCCGGGGAGGAGGAGGGCGGAATGCCGCGGAGACCCGAGGCTTCGGGGTAGCGCCCGTCGGCGAAGGTCCCGTCGCGCCTAGCCCCTTCTGGGTGACCTCAACCCCTTTATACCCACCCCGCCTCTCAGGAGCCGGAGTCCCGCCCCCGGGGGACGGGGGGCGGGGACGAGGAGGAGATTCTGCGCGCGGATTGCGTCCTCCGGGCACCCGTAGTCAGGAACCGTGGAACCCTGGTCCGGGGGGGCGGGAGGGCGGCGTCGCGGCTCCGAGGCTCGGGTGGGCCTCTCGCCGGCTGGGCTGCTTCTCGCCCCGGGAGGGGAGCGCGAGCTTGAGCCGGGCCCGCGGGCGACACGCGCGGAGCGGCTGGTCCAGTCATGTGAGTTGGGTCTCGGGCTCTAAACAAGGACGCGTTGTTCCCCGGGGCGGCCCTGCCTCCCTCCCGCCCGGCTCTCCGCCGCCGCCGCCGCCGCCTGGGCCCCTGTGCGCGCCCCCGCCCTTCGGTTGGAGGCGGGATGGGCGCGCTCCTCACTCGCCGCGGACCGGCCGGACCGGTTCTCCGCGCGGTGGGAGCCCTGCCCCGGGGAGCGCCCGGGGGCGCGCAGGGCGGGCTCTCGCGGGGGAGGGAGGTCGGCGGCGGCCGGTGGAAGTCAGACGGCGGAGGGCTCCCGCCGCCCGCCGGCGGGGTCGCCGCAGCCTTGGGGTGTCTTTGGCCTGAGCCGGGAGGCTGTGAAACGAGGGCGGGACTGCGGCCGCCGCTGATCCTCCGCCTTTAGAGCGGCGGCCCGGGTTTGGGGAATGGTTCCCCCCGTCCGCCGGCTGAGAGGTCCCTTGGTTTGCCAGCTCCCTCCTGCCCGGAGGCTCAAGAACAGATTGCACCCACTGATGGTCCCGGAGGAACCACAGCCTTCCAGAGGAGTCCTGTGCTTTTGTTTGTTCTTCTGGTGCAAGTAACTTGACGTAAAGCAAGCTTTATGTATGAGCTTATTCAGACCTCCGTTACAGCAACCTCTCAAAATGCCAGAAAGGGAAAGACAAATCTTCCCTAAGATGTTACTTATTTCTTCACACTGATGACATGAACAAATGGGAGGGACGGCTTTTTTTTTTTTTTCTTTTTTTTCTTTTAAGCTGTTTTATCTGAGGGAGTTTTAAAACCGTTGCAGACTTTTCTACGTGAGTGGCAACACTTTTAGACAAATGATAAAAACGGTGCTGTGTGTATACAGCAAGACAAGATTCAGTAGCAGAGGCTTACATGTCAAATTCTACGATGTAAAGCATGCAGAGTTTTACCTTTTTAACTTATAAGTAAGCTTAGACTTATTTTTCTCTTTTTCAGGGCCGACTACTGGAAGTCACAACCAAAGAAATTCTGCGATTACTGCAAGTGCTGGATAGCGGACAACAGGCCTGTACGGCAGTTCCACTGATAGATTCTAATAATGTATTTCTGCAAAGTGTTCCCTTTTTTTATCTAAACTTGGGAGTTTACAAAACATTTTCATATGTATTGCTCTAGATCAGTGTTTCCCAAACTTTTGACTTATGTGTACCCCTTCTATAATTTTAATTTTCGTAACGCGAGTACCCTCGTACTCATGAGAACGTAGAATTAGGCGCAGCTAGGCACGGTGCAGTGCATATCCCCACCAAACTCCAGTGCAACGCGTACCCCTACCAAACTCTTCCTGTACGCCTGGGGGTACACATACCACACTTTGGGAAACACTGCCTAGATGTTTCAAATTTTTCTATTATCTTTTTTTGTTGATAATCCTCATCCAAGGATATTTTTCCTTTGATTTTTAGAGAGTGAAAGGGAGGGGGAGAGACAAACATCCATTGCCTCCCAGTCCACAGAGCAAACTGGCTAGGGCTTCTGTTATCTTTTCGTTCCTTGTGTGCCTTCTTCCTTTTCATCGGCCTAAATTTGTATATATATGTATTAAGCCCAATTAATTCACTATGGCCCTGCAGTCAAATTTAGGAAATGAACATTGAGTGTAGGTAATCTCATCTGTGCCTATGAAACATCCAGTTATGATGGTATTGTTTTTAACACTGTCACATACAAAGAAAAGTGGAAAGCCCTTAATGTGTAAGAAGAAACGTTGTAGTTTTTCTTGTAAGTTTTTTGCTCTAGAGATAATAAAATATACTTGATGCATAGCTTTATGTCTATAAATGCTTAAATTTGAAAAAACATCATTACCTCTGTCGTGGAATATGAAAATGGCAACTCTTTTTTTTTTTAACATATTTTATTGATATTTTACAGAGAGGAAGGGAGAGAGATAGAGAGCTAGAAACGTCAATGGGAGAGAAACATTGACCAGCTGCCTCCTGCACACCCCCTACTGGGGATTTGCCTGCAACCAAAGTACATGCCCTTGACCGGAATCGAACCCAGGACCTTTCAGTCCACAGACAGACGCTCTACCACTGAGCCAAACCGGTTTCGGCTGAAAATGGCAACTCTTAAGTAAATTATATTACTGTGTCTCTTAGTGTAGTTTCAGCCTTTAAGACGTGAAACAGAAGCAGCAGCATTGTCTTTTTTTTTTTTTAACTCCTCTCATGCATGTCATAGGATTGTGTACATTAAGCATGTCAAACTCAAAAGCTAATACAGGCCAACTAAGGTTTAAGTTTATGTGGGCCACAAAAAAACAAAAGCTTCAATTTTCATAGAAACGTAGGTTTATTTTTATAGAGATGCTGAATACAAAGGACTGAAATAAATGAGTAATCATTAACATGAAATAATGGAAAATTTTAATAAAAAATAATATTTTTTTCTTGAACATTAACTTGCCAGACACTAAATAACTGCACAAATTAATAAGCGTAATTCAAACAAACCTATTTTTTCTTGTTCTCTGAAAGTGAAGTATTTCCTGTTGCGCACACCAAACAAGTCATACAGTAGGTCCTCGGGTTCCACGTAACATGATTTTCGCCGGAAGTCGGAACCCACCTAGATAAGCACGTATGTCACTCACATGGAGCACATACACAGCAGTAATGAAGTGAAACAGTAAAAAAAAATTTTTTTAAAGATAATTCTTGACCTTGTGGTAAACAAATAATAAAAAACATAAAGCACATATGTACATCGAAATGACGGAACTTTTTTTTTATATAAATAAATGGGAGATGACGATGTAACCATGAAATGACGTAAGTCAAGTGTGAGGTAACCCGAGGACTGCCTATAATGAGGTGGCAATCGGCTGCTAAAATATTCGCTGCTAGTGTTAGTGGAGAGAAATGATGAGCCTGGCATAAGGTGTGTAAGGGAAATGAATGCAACACAATTATAGTTATCAGTCATTAGTGAACATTGTAGTTCGTTATTATAACAGGATGTTGTAAAAATTGTTATGAAATTTTTATTAAAATGTTTCTTACATACTGTTATATTGGCTGGGCCGCAAAAATATTTGTTGTGAGCCGAGAGGTTGACATGCTTGCTGTACATAGTACCTATAGGCTTGGGTATTTTAAAAATATATTGCATACTCATATCCTTTCTTTTTACTTGGTAGAGTTGGATGCACAAAAGAATAATAGCCCTGTCTGTAACAACGTTTTACTTGTTTAGTAGACATTTATTTACTATTGTCTGCAAAAGTCAGAAACATCAATGTGTCTATAAGGAGTTTGGGTTTTTCTTTCTTTTTTTTATTTTTGGTCTTTTTGAATAGTTGCTAAAGTTCTTAACTATCTTGTTTGACTTAGGGCATCCTACACAAATCACTGATAGTATCTTCCTTGGAGGTGAAACAGTTCAATGAATCCCATGAGTTATGTAGAGTAAACAATCTCTCTAGAATAGTCTTTCTGCATCTCCTTGAATTGTTAATACAACTGTAACCTTTACTTAGAAGCAAAATTAATTTATTTTTAATGGACCTGTAACAGTCTTTGTGGTGTATAATAAATTTTAGAAAAATTAATATGTGAAAAATAAAGGATGAACATTTGCCCTAAAAGTCACATTTTTAAAGAGGAATTCACAGTACTTTAGAATAGATCAGGTAATGCCTTGTGTAAGATTTGATTTACAAAATTTATTTTGCAAAGTTTTAGCAGATAATTCGTATGTGTACAACCATAGGGAGTATTTCTGGCTGTTTTAAATGTGTGATAACATTCAATCATCCACCTCTGTTATTCATCCAAGTTACCATCATTCCTCATAGATTACCACTTTTCATTTTCTTGTCTAGCTTCTATTGTTTCTATATGTATATAAATTCTTATTCTAGCGTACATAAAAGGTTGCATACTATATTGTACCATAGTTTTGTTGTTTTGGGGTTTTTTTTTTAAATAGATTTCTATTGACTTCAGAGAGAAAGGAAGAGAGAAACATCATGATAAAAATCACCAATTGGCTGCCTCCTGTACGCTTCCTACTGGTGATCGAGCCCACAACCCAGGCATGTGCCCTTGACTGGAATCTATCCACAGGCCAATGCTCTATCCACTAAGCCAAACCAGCCAGGGCGTTTTGTTTTACTTTTTAATTGAACAGTATATCCTGAAGCTCTCTCCACATTAATTTTTAGGAAACTCTAATGGAGCAGTTTAATTTTGATAGATTATTCCAAATTGTTCTGCATAGGAGTTTCACATTTTGTACCACTACCACATTATATAAGAGTATTTGTTTATAATTAAGATAAAATTTTTAATGTCTGCTTTTCTCCCAATATGGAGAAATATAGTTCTAAGGATCATTGGTTATTGTCTCTTATCTAATGTGGCAAGTAGAGCAGTGTAAATTCTAGAGACTTACTGGTTTTGACACTACATTAAGAGATGTTTCTTGAAGTTAAGATTTTTTTCCTACTGTTTTGGCTTCATGTCTTGTTTTGGGTCCTCATTACAATCATAGTCACTAGATTAGTCATCAAATGTTCCTTGTATTTTCCTTCATTAATATGGTAATCAATTATATTTTAAGCACCAAAGGAGACCTAGTCCGGCTTAATAATAAATAATGTAGTTCAATTCTATAGTATCATTTGGTAGAAGGGCCAAT